TGGAATAAATATACAGCAGCTTCCTATTTTTTTTTTCAATTAACACTTTTTCATTATTATGGGGGGAAAAAATCCTGAAGGAAAAGATGTCATTAGAGGACTGTCTTTCATTGTCAGTTGTTTTGCTTAAAGATACAGTTTCCAAGAACCCATCAATGCCGTGAAGTGAGGACTTGTGTGGGTGATACGTAAAGAGACAGGCATAGTGCGAGATGGACACAGTGAGAGTTTCAAAGATTCCTGAGGAGTGAGTGAGTGGTCTGTCAGTCAAACCACTATACCTGGGGCTGAACCAATGCAGGGAGCATGAAATAAGTCTTGCCCACATTTTCAGTCAGATGGTGTGTTTGTTCTAGCAGAAATATCAGAAATTATTAACCCTCCTAATAAAATATCGAAGTTTGAAATGAGTGCTTTATATCCTTTCCTGGAGTGAAACACTACATACAGAGTGAGATGTATTATATACAGTAAGACTTAACTTTCTCCTCCGTCTGTTACAAACAGCCAGTGACCTTCCCAGTAAAACACCTAATACTTACCTTGATATACTTCATTGTCTCATTTGGAAGCTGTACCTCCAGCAACGTAAGTGAACCTCCAATTGAAAGAAAAGATGTTAGTGACAGGACCCTCGCTAGTGGCGCAGGGGTTAAAGCGCAGCACCATGAAGCTGTCCACAGCCACTGCAGCAGGAGTTCACTCCCTGGCAGGGAGGGACCCCCAGGGTGCAGCTAAACCTCTCCTTACCTGCCCACTGCTCCCCTGAGCAGTGCATTTCAATGGATCTGCCTGTTCGCCCCACTGTCTCTGCTGAATCCTCTCAGCGCCCACACCTCTGGTCTGTATCCCAGTTTTTGTATGCATAAATAATAAATCTTTTTTAAAAAATAGAGAGAGAAGATGCCAGGGGACCATCTAGGTGCATTGTTGGGAGGCCACACTCACTGTGACTATATACCCAGTTTCTGAATTACCAGTTTTACTCTTATTTTAAAATTAAAAAATATTTCTGTGCACATTGGGTAACTGGAGGGAAGCTAACAAATTTCAGAGGCAAAGAAGTTAAAAGCCCTCTCTTATAAGGTGGGGGGTGTGCTGGGGGTGAGCTAGGGGTGGTAAGCCCACCCAAGGCAGGGAGATGCTGTCCTTCTAATACACAAACAATGACGTAAACCAAATTTTGTTTGTTTGTTTGTTTATTATTATTGTGTATCCTCTCTGGTGCTGCACAAGGTGGTATTCTGACTTTCTATGGGCAGATAGATTTGTTCTGAAACATAAAGCATTTATTATCACTGGAATCAAGTCTAAATCTCTTAAGCTAATGGACCTGAGTATTGGATGTGTAATCAGAATTCATGATTTTCACTGTGCAGTTCCCTGCGGTGAGACCGCCCGATGTCACACACACACCAGGGAAGGAGCATGAATGTGGAACGCACAAAGCTTCACTGCCCTCCACACCTGCTTCAGACCAAGTATGTCACCACGATCCTGTTTCATCCCATATTTTAAAAAAACAAGGAAGGGAGAGGGCCAGGAGATCTTTCTTATGACCACAAAATGAATTATGACACAGACAATAAATGAAGTTTTTCCTGGAACAAAATTATACAAAACAGAAACCCACTACTCACAGCACTTCTAACATTAATCATATATCTAGTGGATAATTTTTCTATTATTCAGATAAGCCTAGTCTTTAATCAACCTGCATACACAATTTTTTAAAAATGTTTCTGTTTAATTGAATGAAAGCAAAAAGCTACCACCTCAACATGAGAAATTTTTACACATAGATGAGTAGGTTAAAAAAAAAATACCAGTGCACATAAATACAAGTTTTTACCACTTAAAAAGTCCACTGAAATGACATGTGTACCCTGGAAAATGTGAATCTATATAAATATATTTTTTAAACAAGCCCATTGTGCCACAGTTAGTTTTAAGTCGCAAAATCCAATGCACAGTTGTTATAAGAAATTAGTGCAATTAACCTGTTCACATTCTATCAAGTTGACGGTTTCATACTTTGTTCCAAAAGCCAACTTTCACTTTTTCTTAAGTTATTTCTTCCTCGGTATCGAAGAATGCCTGTTCAGATTTAGACAAACTTACCCAAACATCAAACTGCCTAGATGCGGTAGAGAATTTTTTTACTTATATCACAGCAAATACATGGAATGTCACACACTGATCTTACAAGCTACGTGGAGTCACTCTCTGAGGCAAACAGATCTGTACACTAGGGGAGCTCTTTATTTCCTCTCTCTATGTTATGATGCAGAAAAAGTTGAAACAAAAGGTCCTTGGTGACCCTGAATCAAAACTCTAATGAATCTAAAATGCACTTTATTTTAGCAAAATAATCCCCACCCAAGTACCAATGGGGATAATGTCCTTGGAGAGAAAGTACAATGGTAACTGTACACCCAAACCAGACATAGAAATGCAAGTTTCTAATTACAAATCAAGATGATTCTTCACTGTTTATTCACATATAATTCAAACAATACAATGGGTGAGAAGCTAGCCTCATTGCCTAAAATAACCTGCATAATACATGCTTAATACACAAAGATTCAAAAATAAATAAGAAAAGCTGACAAATTCATAGAACTTTGAGATGCAGGAGTAAACATTGTTTTAGTACTTTTCCTACATTTCTACAGAAAAAATATGTCAAGCACCTTTCTTATACTTTTTTAAATTTTTTGAAGATTTATTTATTTATGCACAGAACTGGGGTACTGGCCAGAAGTGCAGGGGCGGTAAGAGGGTTCACCAGAGACAGAGTGGGGAGCAGAACAGGCCCACTGAGGAAGTCCACTGCTGAGGGGAGCAGCAGGCGGGTCAGGAGAGGTCTGCCGCGCCCTGTGGTTCACCTCTGGAGCTGGGGATCGAACTCATGCTGAAGCGCCTCTGGCTTCTCAGTACCATGCTTTTGTTACAGGGCACCCAGAGTGAACTGGGTCGCCTGTGTGTGGGGCCTCACCTGGGCGCTTAAAATTCAGTTATACTGCAGGCGCATACAAAAGGGTCAAAATGGGTTTACAAAAGGGGAAAAGAAAAGGAAACAACCCAGGGAAAGAGAGCAGGCTACAAAGTAACTGGAATACCTTACTGGCTGGGCTGACTGAAAATGCTGAGTCATGCAGTCTGTAGAGCCATTTCTGCAGCGAGAGAGAGACCCAGAGACCCAGAGACCCAATGGCCCCCTATTTATCCGCCAATGTCCCAGAATTCCTGCTTAGCTCCGCCCCTGGGTCCTCTCAGTTCTCTCCCTGGTACTGCTGGGAGTTGTAGTTTCCAATCACTGGAGCAGGGGTAGGGTCCAGAAAGGTGGAGAAGAGGGTGGAGTCCACAAGACTCTGCAGAGTTCCTTTAGGACATCCTGCCCCTTAACACTTTAATCCACTGTGCCACCAGGGAGGGTCCCCTTTCTTATACTTTTAATGAAAAATAGACAATCCAATATTTTTAATTTGACAATTTGCCTGCTATACTTTTTCTTTGTTAAGGAAGTACATTTCTGTTTTTAGTTGGTTAAGGTTTTTTAATCATTAATGAAGAGATTTTTACCAATGTTTTTTTTTAATTATACATATAATTAAACATTTTTTCAAACATTCCTCATTTTGTACATTTTTTCATCTCAGTTGTAATCGCCATGGACTTCACACCATGAATTCACCCATGTGCCAACACCATAATCGTGTGCACTCTTCCCGCCCCAGTTTTGATCCTGTTCTCCTCTCCACCCCCATAGAATCTCTCTACCAGTGCTACTTCTAGATATATGGAGTTCATTATATGTTTCTCTTTTAATTCTGTTCAATTGGCAAAGCATAAATAGAATTTCTATTAAGCCAGCTGAGGTTAAAAAGCAGAGGAAATAAGCCAATTATCTGACTGGGAAGTAATGGAGATGGGCAGTCATCTCTGATCCACCACAGCCATGAAGCTGAAGAGCCTAAGAGGAAATGTGGATTCTAATAATCAATTCATTGTCCACATTTCCACAAATTTCAGAATCCAAGTCCCTCTGGTCTTCTCTGTTACATCACAATTTGGTATCTTATATTAACTATTTTGCATTTTACCTTGCTTTGTTAGCTCTGTTTTGGAAGAATTAATTAGAAATCTATCAAAGATCACTAAATACTATTTGATTAAATAGTTTATGTCAACATATTTTGCATATATATATATAAATACAGATTACAAGAGGTAAAGAATATTATTATTACACTGTGCAAAACCACACATGTATTTTGAGGCATCATTAAGGTAGGCTAGAGTTCAAAGCAGCTTTAGATTTCCTAAATATCAATGTGCTTATCCTCTTGGAAAGAAAAGCACATGGAAAAAAGCTATGTCACAAGGAGGGGAAAACTAGTCACATGAACAAATAGATACTGTGCTATTAATAATGGCCAGTGCATAGTTGACAAAATGCAAAACAGTTGAATGAAATGTAGCTTGAGAAATATCAGTCTTCATGATACTATCTCCCCCATAGATCTTTCCAGACTTTCTTCTCAACTCTGTTGTACCTCAACATTATCAAAATACACAACACTCCTGCCCTAATATTTATCCATAGGCTATAACACATTGTTTCTTTATATAAATACAGATATATAAATACAGATTACAAGAGGTAAAGAATATTATAATGACACTATGCAAAACCACATATATATTTTGAGGCATCATTATGGTAGGGTTAGAGTTCAAAGCAGCTTTAGATTTCCTAAATATCACTGTGCTTGTATTCTTGCAAAGAAAATGTAAGCTACTGAAATGTAGCTTAAATATTTAACAGAGAAACATCTATCTGCATGATACTCTCTCTCTCACAGGTATTTCTAGACTTTCTTCTCTTCACCAATGTTCCTCAGAATTATGACAATACACAACTCTCCTGCCCTAAGATCTATCCAAAAGGTATAACACACTGTTTCTTTAACTTAATTTCACATGTCCATAATCAACTATTTCCTTGAAAGAAACGCAAGTGTTTTAAGAGTGTCATGGAAAGACTGCTTGACTTGTTTATTTCTCAGGGAATAAATGAAAGGATTCAATAAGGGGGCAACCGACACAATAAGCAGAGAAACTGCCTTATTAATGGTCACTTCATCCTTAGCTGAGGGTTTGACATACATGAATATGCAGCTGCCGTACGAGATGGAGACCACGATCATGTGAGAAGAGCAGGTGGAAAAGGCCTTTTTTCTCTGCTGCACAGAAGGCAACCTCAGGATCGTCCTGATGATGTAGATGTAGGACAGAACCACACACAGCAGGGTCATGATGAAGGTCAATACAGCACTGGCTATAACCAGCTGCTCTATCAGCCACGTGTCTGAACAGGAATTCTTCAGTATTGGAAAAGCATCACAGAAAAAATGGTCAATAACAAAGTTGCAAAATTCTAGACGGCGGGCCAAGCTGAGGGCTGGGAGGACGATCAGGAAGCCAGACCCCCAGCAGCAGCAGATGAGATTCCTGCAGACCCTGCTGTTCATGATGGTCACATAGTGCAGGGGCTTGCAGATGGCCACGTAGCGGTCATACGACATCACGGCCAACAGGAAAAACTCTGTG